CTAATGAGGGTGAAAGTACAGTATAAAGTGAATGTGATCAATGTGAACTGGATGCCATAAAAGCACAATTGTTTTCTAATAAATAAATGCCAGCTTCAACTGCCTGGAGATTGAGAAATAAAAATTCGATGCCTGAAACCAAATCTATTTTTAGTGAAAAGATTATTATAGAATGCTATTAGATTTACTTTTGAGGGGGTGGTGGATATGACACTAAGCACATAATTTGATTTCAGGTACGTCACATAACCAATCAGTAGCTCAGGCTAAATAGCCATAGTAGTTTCACCTTTTCTTCTGACACATAAGAATAGCCTATACTTCGAATTTTTCGCTACCAAAAGAAAAAGAAAAGAGAGAAAAAGTACATGTGTCTGAGAATCCAAATTACAAACTGTAGGTTAATTGAGGGCAAGGACAGAATTCATCCTCTTCATTTTCCATAAATTTGGTAGAGAATACCCCTATTCTGTCAGGTGTTTGTAGAGCAATTTGAAATACTACTGCCACCTGGTGGGCAATGACACTTTTACTTTTTTGCTTCTAGATAATACAGGCGTGAGCAAAAGCAGGCTTACAGTTGTGAGTAGGTGGAACACATTTTATTCTTGTGTTATTATTCATGAATTAGTGTATTTCAACTACAAACATACTTTGCCCACCCTGTATAACTGGAACTAAGACTCTCAAGGGACACTTGTAGCATAATTTCATGATAAACACCAATATTGATGTTTTTATTTAGTCCAAGACTGATGAATACAGGCATTAAACTAAAATATATATTTTACTAGCTTACCAAACATAAGAAAATTAAAAATAGACATGCGAAGATACATTCTTAGAGGGACAATTGGGGCCAGCAGCCACCACTCACACATGCTCACATCACAGAGCGATTGGGGCCAGCAGAAGCTGTGGGTGCCAGTGGCGGCTCCAGTACCAGCAGCAGGTGCAAGCACTCGAGGGGGTCGGGGGAGGATCACAGCATTCAGGAGCAAAGAATTTTCAATAACCACCAGAGGCTCACTCCGATGACAGCAACTGGCTCCCTGCCTTGTTCTGGCACCCCCACTTACCTGCTCCACCATCCTGCCACGGCCAATATCCACCATGTTCTGTGCTCTGCTGCCTGCTGCCAATGCTGCTATGTTCCTCTCGCACCCCCTGGTGGTCAGCACACGTCATAGTGATGGGTTGTTCGATTGTTCTTGCTGTTCAGTCTATTTGCATATTAGGGTTTTATATATATAGATGGCTGAGGGAAATAAAAGAGTGAACTACAGCAATGAAAATGGTAATTAAGAGAATAGCATGAAAAACTGATGTAGGAGCTCACTCATGGCTTTTGAGGTGTCATGTTGAGCTTCTGCTGGTGTACAAAGCCTATGCGGGGCACCTAGTGAGTAATTGGCCCTCACGTGGACCACCCACTGATAAAGTTGCCCAAAGCGACGGAGACCACTGTGAACTGTGTCTGCAGGTAAACTGTCATTTTAAAACTTTCCCTAGGGAGAGACGACTCAGGGTTTGGGAAACAAGTTAGTTAAGGTCTCCCCAGCCCCTCCTTTAGGAGCAGGCATTTCCTGATGAGGGAATATTCCAGTGAGACTCCGTGGCAATCTTCGCATTTCCTGCCCAGCACACAGTAGCTTTTAAAAAAAAAAAAAATAGGAATAGCTTGAAAATGATCCACACTTTCCACTCAGCCTACATAATGACTTCATGTAAAACATATTTCTAGTTATAACAGTATATCTTAGAAAGTCACTAATTAACTATAAGAAATTGAAGCATAAACCATACTACTAATTAAAAACAAAGCTTGAAGGGACAAAACTAAAAATACCATATACAAATCAGATGAGCCCTAGGGCTGAAAAACAATACAGTATCGAATGGTTAAACTGAAAATACCGTGGATTAATAAACCTTGTGAGGGGCAAAGATTTTTGTGTGTTTACCTGGTGTAACCTCAGAGCCTAGAACAGTAGCCCAGCACAGAGGGGACACTCAAGGCTATCAAGGAAGGAAGGGAAGGAGGGAGGGAGGGAGGGGGTTAGCTTTTTTTTTTTTTTTTTTTTTTTGTATTAGAAGTTGATTTGAGTCTTTCTTCTAATTATTATTTGTTCCAGTTCTAGAACCAAAGGAAACATCTCTCATGCATCTGGAAGTAATTTTTTTATGCGGAACACTGCCAAATAGTGACATTTAATCCCATCAGGAATAGAAAGTAGAGTGGAAATTGTTCTTTCTCTCATGACATAAGCCCTCATTCTCTTGCCTGTCCTGCAATGCTAGGAAACTTGAGATAGAAATTGTGTGTGGATGCCTGACATTCTGTTCTCTCCAGGGAAATAAGCTTATTTAGCTAATTTCATATTCCTTGGTGAACTATCAATGATTGGTGGTTTGGCAGAGATGTTTTTCTCTAGCTCTATGGCTATTACTTTTCAATGACATGACAAAAAAATATATTAAAAGAGAAAACACAATTGAATAAGGGAAGCATTATCAAGTAGCATACTCCTGAGACAACCAAATGTTACGTACCACAGCGTTCGCCAGGCGGGAATTCACTCTGTTCACACATTCACTCAGTTCGTATGAAGCACGTCACACATTTCAGTCTTTCCTTAAACTAACCCAGATGGAGGCTCCTGAAGACTTGCATGCATGAATCCATTTATTCCATAAATACTTATTTAGTATCTACCAAATGCCAAGTTTTCAGCTATCTCCTGAGGACATAGTGGTGAATAAGACAGAATCCCAGGAGAGTTTATGAATTAAAATGCCTTTTTAGCCGAAACTGGTTTGGCTCAGTGGATAGAGCATTGGCCTGCGGACTGAGAGGTCCTGGGTTTGATTCTGGTCAAGGGCATGTACTTTGGTTGCAGGCACATCCCTAGTAGGGGGTGTGCAAGAGGCAGCTGATCGATGTTTCTCTCTCATCGAGGTTTATAACTCTCTATCCCTTTCTCTCCCTTCCTCTCTGTAAAAAATTCAATAAAAAAATCAATCAATCAATCAATAAATAAAATGCCTTTTTTTGTTGTGGGACTAGTTAAACAAAAAATGTGAAGGGAAAGAAACCACAACGTTTTTTTTGAAGTGCTATTTTGTGCCAACGTTTTTTTTTGAAGTGCTATTTTGTACATGTTAGAGGGGTATCCCTAATCATCCTTTCTAAGTAGCTCCCACCTCACCCCTGCTTCCTTTTCTTTTTCAATCCTGCTTTTTCTTTCCTTCCTGTTGATCCCTACTCGACACTGTTCACTGTTCTATCCAGCTCTCAGAGGTGGCCGGGTAGAGTAGGTTTTTTGAAGTCATGGCAAAATGAACTCCAGAGATAGAAATGCCTGTTTTACACATGAGACCAAGAGTAATGACTTTAAATGATTTGCACATGATAATATAACTCTTAACTCAAAAATCAGGGTTTTAAACGTTGGTATGAAGACAAAGCCCATGTTCTTTTAAAATACATACTGAGGCCCTAACCGGTTTGGCTAAGTGAATAAAGCGTCGGCCTGCGGACTGAAGGGTCTCAGGTTCAATTCCGGTCAAGAGCATGTACCTTGTTGCAGGCACATCCCCAATAGGACATGTGCAGGAGGCAGCTGATCTATGTTTCTCTCCCATTGATGTTTCTAACCCTCTATTCCTCTCCCTTCCTCTCTCTAAAATATCAATAAAATATATTAAAAATTTATACACACACACACACTCAGTGTATACAGTATGTATATTAGAGACCTGGTGCATGAATTTGTGCATGGGTGGGGTCCGGCCAGCCTGGTCAGGGAAAGGGGACATGGGCGGTTGGCCTGCCTGCTGGTTGAACTCCTGGTCGAGAGGACAATTTGCATATTAGCCTTTTATTATATAGGATATACATTGAGTGGCCAGATTATTATGCGTTCAGAGACCATAATAATCTGGCCACGCAGTATATATATCAGAGAGGAAAGGAGAGGGAGAGAGAGATATAAACATCAATGATGACAGAGTCACTGATCACTACTTTCTGCATGCCCTGGAGCCCACAGCCTGGGCTTACGCCCTGACCGGGAATCAAACCATGACCTCCTGGTTCATAGGTTGACTCTCAGCCACTGAGTCAGGCCGGCTGGGCAAAGCCCCGTGTTCTTTCTACAACGATTCCTCTCAATGCCTGTTTTTTTTACAGAGATATGACTGTCTTCTTTTGTTAAATGTCATTATGGGAAAGACACTTGGAGGTGCAGAGATCTTGTCTTCAACAGCCTGACAATCTAGTTACCAAGAGGAAAAAAAAAAAAAATCCGGAGATGCAAGTGAAAGGGTAAGGCAATGTGTAGGTATGGAAGGAACCTGAGACTGGCCAAGAGGAGGGCCAGCTGGCCAGGGCCTGGTCTGCGGAGGGGCTGGGGCTGCTGTCCCTGGAATGGGAGTAAATGGCGCTTTTGGGAGTCCCTGCTCCTATTTGGGCCCCGCAGAACCTTCCATTCTCCCTGCTTTTTGCAGATGGTGGAAGGTAAAAGAAAGACTCGTTTTGAACAGAGTTTGGAGAGTCTGTGGTCTAAGAAATGAAGAGGCAGAGGAAACTTTGCAACTGGGGTTGTCTTGCCAGGGAAAAGGAAAATCTGGGGTGGAGGGTGGGGTGAGCAACTGTCAGAAGTCCTGGATGTCCTTACACTTATTTGATAAACATTTGGAAGGTCCTGCCTTTGAAGGGGGGAGGAGGGTAGTTTTATTCTCTTGGAACCGAAGGGTGAAAAACGGGTGGAAACTCCCTGGGGCGCCCGCAGCGGGACGTGCGCTTCGGGCCGCACCGCCGGGGCGGGGACTGAGCCGAGGGGACGCTCAGAGGCTCCAGCTGCGCCCGCTCCCCCGGGGCGCCGGCGGGGGCGGTGGGGAGGGGGCAGAGGGGCGGAGGGGTGGTTGTGGGGGGACGGGAACCGGGGCGGGAGCCGGCGCTCAGGCCAGACCCGGGCTGCAGGCGGGAGCAGGGCACGATGCTGGCCGCCGCCGGGAGCCTCCTGCGCCTCCGCCCCGGCCGCGTCCTCCGCTGCGCCCCGGGGCCGCCTCGGGAAGCCGCCCGACGGCCCGCGGCGCTTCTCCGGCCCCAGGGTCTCCCCCGGCTCTCCAGCGGCGGGGCCCCCGGCGGCCCCGGGCCCCGGGGTGCGGGGAGTGGGATGGGGTGGCCGGGGAGGGGCCGGGCGGGTGCGGGGAGTGGGATGGGGTGGCCGGGGAGGGAGCGGGCGGGTGTGGGGGAGTGGGTGGTGGGGTGGCCGGGGAGGGAGCGGGCGGGTGCGGGGAGTGGGATGGGGTGGCCGGGGAGGGAGCGGGCGGGTGCGGGGGAGTGGGTGGTGGGGTGGCCGGGGAGGGAGCGAGCGGGTGCGGGGAGTGGGATGGGGTGGCCGGGGAGGGAGCGGGCGGGTGCGGGGAGTGGGATGGGGTGGCCGGGGAGGGGCCGGGCGGGTGCGGGGAGTGGGATGGGGTGGCCGGGGAGGGAGCGGGCGGGTGCGGGGAGTGGGATGGGGTGGCCGGGGAGGGAGCGAGCAGGTGCGGGGGAGTGGGTGGTGGGGTGGCCGGGGAGGGAGCGGGCGGGTGCGGGGGAGTGGGGATGGGTGGCCGGGGAGGGAGCGGGCGGGTGCGGGGAGTGGGATGGGGTGGCCGGGGAGGGAGCGGGCGGGTGCGGGGGAGTGGGGTGGGGTGGCCGGGGAGGGAGCGGGCGGGCCGGGCGCTGACCGGTGCGGCTCTCTCTCTGGCAGCCGGGAAGGTGCACAGGGTCCCCGCCGAGCACAGGCCCTCCCAGTTCGACAAGAAGATCCTGCTGTGGACCGGGCGCTTCAAGGCCATGGAGGACATCCCGCCTCTGATCCCGTGAGTGCGCCCGGCGCCGCGGCTCCGTGTCCCGCGCGGCGGGGATGCCGTCCGGCCGGGCCTGGGGGTGCGGGTCCGTGCGCTCCCGGCCTGGGGGTGCGGGTCCGTGCGCTCCCGGCCTGGGGGTGCGGGTCCGTCCGCTCCGACCTGGGCCACCAGGCAGAGAGGATCGCAGTGCGCAGAGCTTTACACCAGTGTTTCCCAAACTTCTCTCATGATGAGAATCGCCTGGTGGAGTTGTTAAAATACAGATTCCTGCATCCCAACTAAGAAGTGCTAAACTAGAATTTTTTGGAACATATAGGTAAAATTGTATACTTAACTAGTACTCTCACACCACACACTCACACACCACACACTCACATACACACACACACTCACACTCCCAAGGCAGCTGGATGTCAATTCCTTGCCTGCACTGGGCAGCTGAGCTTACAGGGAGCTTGCAGAAGCCCGGTGAAAGCCCAGGAGTTAGTGCCCCCGTCCCCCCCAAGCTCTGATCCCCGCCCTCAGAGAACTCCAGCCCCAGGCCCTGCAGGACCCCCGGAAGGATGGAGGCCCGGGTGTGGGCTGGAGAGTCTCCGGGAAGAAGCAGCATCCGCGGGGCGTCCCTTTCTGGGCGGGGACGCCCGGCGGAGTGGTCGGCTAGGACACCTTGAGCATCTCTGGCCTTTGCGCCCTCCCAAACCCACCAAAAAGCTTCAGTAAACGGTAAAACAAGCTGACAGCTTCACCCCCAGGGTAAAGGAAACCTGTAAAAATTATTTTAAAAAATAAGGTCAGGTGTTTTTTTTTTTTAATATATTTCTATTGATTCCAGAGAGGAAGGGAGAGATGGAAACATCAGTGATGAGAGAGAATCATTGATCCACTGCCTCACTCCCCCTCCTGGGGATGGAGCCCACAATCCCCGGCATGTGCCCTTGACTGGAATCAACTCAGGACCCTTGGGTCCGCAGGCTCCAGCTCTGTCCACCCAGCCAAACCAGCCAGGGCTGTACAGAATATTCTCCCTGCAAAGCCCAAAAAACTTCCCAGCATTTTTGCAAGGGAGTGGGTAAAAGGGAAAGAAGGAAACTAAGAATACAATCAATCTAATATTCTTTAACTGATTTGAAAGATAGACTAGAACTATAATGTCAAATAAGGACTTTATGTTCTGTATATTATCGTTATGGAAGATGGCGAATGCCTGTTAGAATAAAGAATGAAACCTGGGCCTACATCTTGTTCTGCACAAATTACCCGCACTCTTATTGCTTGTTAATTTACTAGTTACCAAAAGCATCATAATCAAATGAAAAAATAAAATGTGTTGGGATATGTTCACTGAATAATGAATTCTCAAAGATTCCTTGCTTGGGTCAAGTTATTTAATGAAGAATGGACTTGGAATTTGAAATAACATAGAATTTGAAATATTTTAAGTATTTATTTTTCCACAGAGACTTCTTTTCATATATATAATATAAGACACATTTTCTTTTCTTTGAGATTTATACTCCAAACTGCATACAGCCCAAAGCATAATTTAGCTTCAGCAAATCTAAAACATTACCCTATTATTTATTTATTAGTTTGTTTATTTATTTATTAGTTTGTTTATTTATTTGTATGTTTGTTTATTGGATTTTGAATTGTAGTGCAGCAACAAGTAATCAAAAATGTAAAGAACCCGTGTTATTGTAAATTAGTGCTCCTCAAGAAACTCTAGGCTCAGCATTGCATTAACATAGTTGTTGGTGTAAAGAGTCCTATTTTACAGAAATAATCTTATTTCCTCAGATGACAGTTAAAAGTAGTATTATAAACAGGGAAATTTTAGTTTTTAATTTGAATAAGATGCCTATGAAAAGTATAGTTTTGGGTTGGAAACATGAACATGTTTGAATTGTTTTCATTTTACTATTTTCTATAGTTTTTTAAAAGTAGTTACTTAGGAGGCATACACCTCTGCTAACTGTTAGTCTTACAGTGTAAACAGCTTTCACTTTGTATGCTCTTAAGGAACATATAATTACCACGTTTGTACCAGACACTAACGATATTTAATAATAGCTGTACTTTTTCTTGTTCCTTCAGTGTTAAACTAATTTGGCATAGTAGATGAAAGCCAGATGAATGGATGAAAAAGATCAGATCTATTATAGGTTTCATCTGGACAACAGTCAACAACAAATATAATCAAATACAATCTAATCACATAAAATATAACATTAGAACAGTCATCCTCACAAAATGTACCGTAGTCTCTTAAATTGGGTTAGGATGGAAGGTGGCAAGAAGAGATTGGGTGGCCAGTAAAAAAAATAAATAAATAAATTATGAAAATTAGTTTTTAAAAAGTCTGTTTAAAATTGAAAACAAACACCACTTAATAACACAAGGACCAAAAGAACATGACTCAGGCATACAGACACTTTAATTCTTACCTTTATTACCTCCCTGCCCCCCTCCACTCCCCCCCCCGCCCCTCCCTCCCACACACACATCACCACCACCATCACCACCACCACCATCACCACTGGAAAAAATAAAAGGATGGTGAGTCAGACCACAATCTCTAGTAGTTATATTTTGAGCAATTAGGAATGAAATATTACATTTTGGCTTCTAGTGGCTAACATTAGTTAAAACCTAAATAAATACCTGTTAATTTAAAATTGGTAAGACAGTGACATAGCATTAGGAAGTCTTTCACATCTAGATTTGCATTCAGGGAAGTCTTTTGGAATGTTTACATTACAAAGCATTGTCTATGACGCCCATCAGAAAATCATATTGCTTTAATATAATTAACAGAATACTTACCTTAATGCAGGCGAGAAATGATAGATGCCGCAAGAAACAAAGCTCGAGTGAAAGCCTGTTACATAATGATCGGACTCACAATCATCGCCTGCTTTGCAGTGATAGCATCAGCCAAAAGGGTGAGTACCTCTTTAAGTTAAAGGTAGACTTTAACATAAAAGGAAGGCAGAAATACCACAAGTTTTCACTTCGGACTATGGGGAAAAAATAGACTGCACATTTTAAGGAATTCTATGAGCTTTGTTCTCAATTTAGGGATTATTGCTATTCTTTCAATGTAAAAATGACTTGGTCTTAGACACTTTGAGCCATCTACATTTATCTGTCTACTAGTACATGAAAACTTCTTCAAAATAGATTCACCCAGACCGAAAACTGACTTCTGCACATGGGCCACGAAGTTTCAATTACACATGTTATTTTGTGGAAGAGCCACACTCAAGGGGCCAAAGAGCTGCATGTGGCTCACAAGGTGCAGTTTGCCAACCACTGGCCTAGTTGATTGCAATATTTTCTAAAATGATCTCGCAGCTGTCCCTTTTGCCTTGCTTTAATTCAGTTTTCAGTTTTAGTCATTAATGCTAGTACCTTAACTAAGATTGTGGCAGATGGAAAAAGGGTTAGCAATCTATACTAATAATAGAAAAATATGTAAATTGACCATACCTCCACAATGCCCACAATCAGGTGTGAGTATGCAAATTAATCCAACAAAGATGGCGGGCCTGTGGGCAGCAGCATGCATCCAAGCAGGCACTGAGCAGCCAGGGTCCCAGGGATGCCACTGGAGTGTCCAGTCCTGTCAGCCCAGCCTGGGGGCAGCTAAAGTTCCCAGTCCTTTTGGTTTCTGCAACCCCTGGACCAGAAGCGAAAACCAAGAATGCAGGGAGCACCAGGAATACTTGGAATCATAGATCCTGGCAGACATGTTACAGGATCTCCTAGACACTAGAGCAAAGTAAGCCTGGAGTAAGTTACTGTTGCAGGTGGAGGATGGAGGGAAAACAAAGGTGAGAGACATAAGTAAAGTCAGAATGTCGAGGAAAAATTAAAAGGAAGATATCTTACAACTTCTAGGAAATCTCCTTCAATGGAGCAAAGAAATAAAAAAGACCTCTATTATTCTGTGAGCACCAAACCAAACTGGGTTGGGGTCTCAGACAATTCGCTCATATGATTGCAAAGCCAGACAGAAACTCCCGGATTGGAGAGGGCTCCTCTGGGGTTCCCAGATTGGAGAGGGTGCAGGTCAGGCTGAGGAACTCATCTCCTGTGCATGAATTTCATGCACTGAGCCCATTGTTTGAAATATATTTGAGGAGGTACAAAGAAAGAATTTTCTGGTAAATTCAGAGAGGAGAGAAAATAGAAGCAAGCCCAGGTTTCTGCCTTGAACTAGATGATGCTGCATTGCTGAGATGTGTAAGACTGGGAAAAGAACTGGCAGGCCTGTTTTGGATATATTAACTGTGAGATCATCTTAGACACCCACCAATGTCAAACTGTTATTTATTCTGCAAAGAACATTGTATGCTCATCATCTGAGGACCTATAGCTTTTCTCACTTCTGAAAAAACTGTCATAACTTCAAATTTAGCCCCTACTCTCAGTGTATCTATTTTCAATCCACCTATTATGAATGTATGTTGGAACTTCTAATTCTATTCTCCGTGTCTCTTCTTTTTTATTATTATTATATATTTTTTGTATCTTTATTTCTGTGCTGCATTTAGACAACTATTTCCTCAGATTTATTTTCTAGCTAGAGTTCTGACTTCCTAATTATGATGCTGATTACCTTTTCACAGGTGATACACACCCCTAAATTTTTGCCAAGTAGATAAATGTCTACTTTCTTTGCCAATTTCTCTGGCTGGTGAGAGCTGTTTTATTTACTTTTATTTATTTATTTTTTTTTTATTGACTTCAGAGAGGAAGGGAGTGGGAGGAATAGAAACATCAATGATGAGAGTCATTGATTGGTTACTTTCTGCACGCCCCCTACTGGGGATGGAGCCAGCAACCAGGGCATGTGCTCTTGACCAGAATTGAACATGGGAACCTTCAGTTCCCAGGCTGATGCTTTACCTACTGAGCCAAACTGGTCAGGGCTGATAAGAGATGTTTTAGTAATTTCATAGGGATACCTTTTTCCTAATAACTCCAACTTTATTGTTAGCTCAACTCTATGCCAAAATCCAAATCCTGGACTTGCCTGTTGGTACAGAGGTTAAACTCCAAGCCCACAGCTTTTGAAGCCAATATTTTTTCCTAATGACCCCCACAATGAAACCATTTCCTTCTATCCTGTTTTCAAGCCTTCTCATTTCTCACCAGTTCATGCCTTTTGAGTTCTTTTCATTTCTCTTTATTTTGAACTAATATTTTTGTTGCTTTTTATCCAAAATATATGTGCTTACCAAGAGAAGATGGGGCATGTTTCTGACATTGTGACAGATGTTTTACCTCACTTTTGTCCTTTTCACAAAACCTCTTCTATATATCTAACATACAAGTTCTTCCCAGACACAATGCTTTGCTTTTTTTTTCAGGCTGTAGAAAGACACGAATCTTTAACAAGCTGGAACCTGGCAAAGAAAGCCAAGTGGCGTGAAGAAGCTGCGCTGGCTGCCCAGGCTAAGGCTAAATGATACTCCAAGTGATAAAGTGTTAATCAGAATATCGTCACTATTATGAGCAACAATAAAAGTTAAAATGGAATATTTGACAAAATATTTAGGTTTTGTGGAGGTTTTGTGGTGACAAGTGTTGGCCAGTATGTGGGGGGAAAAAGAACCTTCGCTCACTGTTGGTGGGATTGTAAATTGGTACAGCCACTATGGAAAACAGTATGGAAGTTCTTTAAGAAATTAGAAATAGAACGACCATATGACTCTGCAATTCTACTGCTGGACATTTAGCCAAAGAAAGGGAGAACACTAATTTGAAAAGATACATGCCCTTATGTCACTGCAGGATTATTAACAGCACTATTTACAATGCCAAAATATGGAAGCAAGGTAGGTGTCTATAAATGGATGAATAAAGCTCTAGCAGGTTTTGCTCAGTGGAGAGAGCATTAGCCTGTGGGCCGAAGGGTCCCAGAGTTTGATTCCAGTTAAGGGCACATGCCCAGGTTGTGGGCTTGATCCCCAGTAAGGGGCATGCAAGAGGCAGCCAATTATTGATTCTCTCTCATCATTGATGTTTCTCTCTCTCCCTCGCCCTTCCTCTCTGAAATCAATAAAAAAAAATAATCGAATAAAAATATCTAAAAATACAGGGTGTGGCAAAAGTAGGTTTACTATTATTCATATGGAAAATAATACAGTAATTAATAATACAATAAACTTTGTATTGTGTACTCACAACTGTAAACCTACTTTTGCCTCATCCTGTATATATAGTAGAATATTACTCAGCAATATAAAATCTTGCCATTTGTGACAACAAGGATGGACTTAGGAAAGGAATATAATGGTAAGTGAAGTAATTCAGAAAAAGGCCAGTACTATATTATTCCACTTATATGTGGGATCTAAAAATACAAAAACGAACAAACAAAACCAAACCAAAATAAAAACAGAGAACAAACTGATGGTTGCCAGAAGGGAAATGGGTGAAAAAGGTGAAGGGAAAACAATTTTTTTACTTTTCACCCCCCTTTTAACGGGACCAGTAGAACGCTACTGCACACTGAAGTCTATTTTTTGACCTGCACATTGTTCCTTCATACATTTTCAGTAACTCCTTTGCCACTACAGCTGCAGACTGCCTTATTGGGAACAACATATCCTAAAAATAACTGATCCTATTACTTTCACTACTCTGTGGTCAACATAGTTTCAAATACTGAAGGAAGGAAGCCGGGCAATGAAAAAACATGGTGGTGAAAGAAGATAAAAGCACTAGGTTAGGCTGCTGTGTGACCTTATGTTCCAGAGCACATTAAGACAGTTAAACCCTCCGATTCCTATTTATTAGGTTTAAAATGTTATTCCTTAGATAAACACATTGTATTGCATTAAATAACAGAAAAGGAAAAATCTCAATTAAACCTGTGAATGTCCAGTAATTGCCATGGCTTGAGGTACAAAGATATATTAGATGTTTTCCTTATTAGAGCAAAATTTGTACATTCTAAAATAAAAGCAACACAGCTTCAATCAGATATACAACAAACAAGTCTTATAGGTTTTGGAAAGCGGATGGAATTTTAATCAATGAGGGCATCTATTTTTGCTGTGCTATGAATACACATATAATCTAAGTAAAAGCAAATGAAATAGACATATATAAATGCAATTGTAAAATAGTATTTTATTATTTTTAATAGAGTGTTGTAACATTTCATAATATTGCATACTGAGCAAATGTTGGTTTATTTAGTTAGGCAACAATATCCCTGCCTCATCCCACTCCCCAATCAGAATTGAAAGATGTATTATCCTTTTAGAGCCTAGCATAATGGCTCCTAATACGGCACATTACATAAAACAATGCTATGAACTAAAATTAATAAAGGTTAACAATAATTGGACTTCAGTTTCACAAAGCAGCCAGCAGATTGCTGAATTTAGAACAGCAACCAAAATCCACTAAGACTTTTATGTTATATTTTTTCCATAATGTTCCTTAAGAGAAGAAAAATATGAAGGTAAAGGTAATGCTTCTTTTAGACCTTTATCAAACAAATCAAGCTTTAACTGCAAATGGGTTCTATAGTTACCAAATGATATGGTTTTTCTGTGCCAGCAGGTTTTATTTTCTGATTGTCACTGGAGGCCCATGCACAAAATTCGTGCAAGGGGCTCAACCCCTGCAGCTCCTGCTTCAGCTGGAAGGTCGTTCAGCTGCCCAGTCTAATTAGCATATTACACTTTTATTATTATAGGTGTTTCTTTGTTTGTTTTGTTTTTTTTTTTTTTTTGGTTTTTTCTTTTTTGCTTTCTTGTTCTGGTACTACTAGTAAAAGAACAAAATGACACTAATTAAAAAAACAAAACAAAACAAAAAACAGTCCAATGACTCAAGTACTTACAAAGATAAAACAGTAAGCACAATTGCATAGATTAACTATTAAAAATTCAAATTCAGACAAACAAAACACCAAATTTACTACAATAAATGTAAAGGACTCTTTCAAATATTATGTTAATTTCTGCCTTAATTCTGCATGTGTTCCCCTTTACGAGTTTTAATTGTTGTTGTTTTTTTTTGGAGGGGGGAAACAGTTTCTCTAGGATTTAAATATAATGAATCTTAAGAGAAAAAGTTAAAACATTTCCCCCCTATGGGCCAGTGAAGATTAATGAAAATGCATTTTGGAGCACTTTAAATAGTACATTTGAAAAAGTAGTAGTATTGAAAAATAAATTTATGGGCAAAGTCTTTGCTAGTCTTGGTTCAATAAAGTCTAATTACCCACATAACATAACAGGCCCATGAAATTAATAATTTTGTAATTGAATGCTTAAAATATGGTCTCATCTGTACTTAGAGATATAATGTTTATTTTCATGGCAAAAAATTTAAAATCCTCCTCACATCATTCTATATGTGTGTTCATGGGCACAAACATACATATATATATTTTTTTTTTCCTTCTATAAAAACTATTTGTTTGAAAGGCTTGGCTTAAAGATTTATTAATGTGATTAAAGGGTCCTCAAAATAAAAGCAGGCACAGCTGGCTAGTTTATGAATTATGCTATATTATTAAGTTCAATTGAATAGAAAGAGTGGAATACCCTGTCTCCTTATACTTAGAATCATCTATACCGCAAAAAAGTGTTTATCTGATAAATTCACCATCAATTTGCTAATCTTTAATATAACTACCCTGTTCTTTTAAAGATACATAATGCAAAAGAAACTTTTTATACTAAACTTCATAACTTCCACTACAATAAGAAGGACACAAATATAATCTTCTGCTCAATATAAAAAGTTTTGCAGATACAGTCAGTATTTAAATACCATTTAAACCTGTACTTTATAGTTATAGGCTTTAAGTCTCTTGCCAAAAGCTTAGTTTCATGATACATAATTTATAAAGTTTCATACTATTTAAAAGTATTCATGTATACATTTTCTTCTTGTAACATGCCTCTGATTTCCAGCAGAAACATTATAAATGCTATCATAAATGAAATCTTTCTTTACAGAATAGACTATGAATCATATAAAAAATGCTTCAGTTCCCATCTTAAAACAGTGGTAAGCTAATTTTTAAATAAGTATTTTATTTATATAATTGGAAATGTAAATAGCCTGTATATAACTATAAATGAAAAAGCTGAGTTCAACAGTACCATGTCTGCTTAGAAAACTTTACCAAGTATAGTACTGTGAGAATAACACACAGACACATATTTATCCACACATAAATATATATAACTTTTCTATTGAAAGTTTTAAAAAGTTTCAGTTTGAAGAGGTTTTGACTTTAATACATAAAACACATACATTATATTGACCAATCTGATATAAATGTAATACAGCGATTGAATACAGTATGAAACAATATTTAAAAAAATCCTAATGCAGCTTTCAACTAAAGAATCCTTATCAATTTTCATAAATATCATCTTTTCATGTCCAAATATTAAGTGTATTAACTAGCACATATTGAGGTGACTTCTTCAGGATAATTTTGCCATTCAAGTACTAAATTCATTAATACACAGAAAATGAAACTTCAATTACTGCTCTGAAAAATCAGAGAAGGAATTACATACAGTATTATTTTTGCTATGCAGCACTACTTTAGACTGATGCTGAATCCCTTAAAATTATGCTTTTTTAAAATAAAGAGTGAAATATTATAAAACACTATTTCAAAACTGGTGGCATATTTGGTCAAAATATAAAATATGCTAATACAATAATATTTATATATTAAGAACACAAATATTTAATGTGTAATCATTTTAATGTGCTCAACATAAAGAACAGCTTCTCTCTTCACAACTGCCACATTTTAATTATCAATATTCTTCTGCGTTTTATAAATAAATGTTACAGCTTTTTCTGTTGTAATTTATTTTTGTAAAGTATAACCTCCAGCACAGTGATTTATAATTTAAGGTAATAGATTATTTTCACATTTTAATTTAGCTTTCATACTGATGCTTCTGAAGTGTTTTTGCTTTAACATAGAGGTAGATTTAGTAGAGATTGGGCCTGTCAGACTTGCTGCCACAATGTAATTCTAACTTCCTGGACTGCTAATATGCAGTTTTCTACGATGCTAGAAAAAAATATAGAACCATATGTAATACCTTACCAAAGTTCTCCTTTTCAAGCTTAAGTTATTAAATAACTTCATAATGTATTTAATTGCTCATGAATAGATTAAGGAACAGATAAAATAATAAGAGACATATATCCAGGCACATAAAAAATAAAAAAAAAAACTATACTGAGAGGTTGCAGCTGACTGGAAACTTTTGTTTGCTTTTAAAAGTGCATCAACTCCTTTTCTGTTCTACCTAAGAACATCTCAAACATTCCTACTGACTCGGTAACAAAGAGGAGATAGCGGAAGCTACCCATTTTAGCCATGAGTTCTCTCCTCCACCGAGTTAAAGCTGAAACCCTTCCATTGGTGCTTCCTGCTGCTGAAATACAAACTGCTGTTGGTTTTCAT